TTACTGCCGCTGCTGGAAAGTGTTTTAGCTGCTGACAGCGGCATCGAGATGGCAACAGTTTTATGCAGAAATTTATGTATACGCTTTGGATCTAACTCAGCGACATAGATTTCATTGCCATCTTTGGTTACTACAATATCGTGTGGATTTGAAAATTGCATGTCATTGGGACCGAATTTCGATACCACTTGGTTAGTGCGCATGTTCATTACGTAGCCACGAACTTCATTATAATGCTGTACTTTGACCCCCAATTCAGCGATGGGTCCATTAACAATTACAAGTTCGCCGCCTGTAAGTAACATAATTAACTTTTTATTTGCAATGACAAATAAAATTATTCTTTCACTACCTTCTGCAGGTGTATAATCCATGCTGAATAAACGATCGCCAATAATTTGATTATGATATTGCGAATGGAATGTACCGTTAGTCCAAAAGAAACACTGTACACGCCCATTTTCACGATCAGCTGCGCAAATCAATTGCTGCTCAGGCACTAGTGTAAGTGCATGTGGAATGGCGAAGTAATTTTTTGGTGCTACTTCCAAGGAAACGCCTGTTACGAAATTAAAACATAAAATAATTAAGTTAAAATCGCATCTCACAATATAAATGTGTAATCAATTCCTTACCAGCGAATGAGTTTTGACCCCAGGATAGAATTTTCTTTCCATTTTTATCATATTTTAAAATTCGAGCATTGCAATAACCATCGCCAACAAAAAAGTCACCATTTTCCAATACTGCAACGGAAGTAGGCTTGCAAAATTTCGAATCACCAACGCCGGGCGTAAACGCGGTACCCAAAGTCAATAGTGGCCGATCGGAAGAACCGCGTGGTCCAAACTTGAAGACTTGATGCAGCGCCACATCAGTAAGCCATACATTATCCTCATGATCGATTGTCAAGCCATGAGGCATGTAGAATCTGAAAATGACAATTTTGATTCATTAAGCCTGGTACTGCAGTAAGTCAATTTTAGATGCTAACAACATACGTACTTTGATTTCAGTTTAATAAAAATAACTTACAAGTTTTTCCCCCAACCATAGACCACTTCCCCGGTTTTACGTTCCAATGCCAGGACAGTGTTGCCTCGAATGGGCCCCTTCTTTCGTTGTTTAAAAACATTTCCGATGAACGAATATTCATCCCAAATACGATCTACACGATGAAATATAACTACATTTCCGTCTTTGTCAAAACTAACTGCGGTGACAGATCCTAATTTAAGATCTGCACTTGGCCATGAACTTTGATATACATAAGCTGCAAAAGGGGTAATATTCTATAAGCATACAAATTATACAAAACATGATATCTTACTTGTATTCAATTTTTCTATTTCAGCCTTTACATCGATCTTGTCTGTTTTCAATTTGGGTGGCTGCGGCCACGTTATATCTGCTGAGCCGCCACCTTGCATGATCTGTTGAAAGCGCTTATTTGTGCTCAAGACCGTATCGTCAGCAGGCAGAGGCAAATAGCGCTACAATGCATGGCATTTAAAATTAAAGCAATAGTGTTATTTTAAATATAAATGTGAAAATATATCTCACGAAATTCATAAATAACTCATAGTAAAGCTAGAATTCAATAAACTTATCAGCGCCGGAGTATGTTAAAAAGCGCAACAGTAAATTCTCCGCCCTTCACCATTCATATTGAAGTACGACACCACACACACGCTGCTACATACATCGCGGCAAGTACAAATATGTATGTACTTTACATATGAGGCAAACATATGCCAGCAATACATAAGTAATCCAATCCCAATTTCAAGCATTGCTTTCTGACCCCATATCGGCAATTGGAAATGCTTACCTCATCGCTCGCAGATTCGGCTATGCAAAATGCCAAAAATACCAAAGACGCACAGCAGGCAGACAGCACAAAATGTGAAGTATTCATTTCAGCCACTTTTCTTTGTTCTCGGCGCACTTAGTGGTCAATAAATTAAGTGTTTTAGATTATTTAACTTTGTTTGCTGCGCTTGTTTTATAGCGAGATTTACAGTGGTTAATATTTTCGTTATTTTACATTATTAATTTATAAATAATTTAATAAATGCGTTTGGGAAAAACCCATTTATCCATAAACAAATCCAAGCGATCTAATTATGACACTAGGGAGCAAATTAGTGATGTGCCGAGTCGAATCGACTCGAGTTCTGACTCGAGTATTTTAGAAGTACTCACGTACTCGAGTAAGCAAATTATAGTATTCGCATACACAGACTCGAGTACGGGTCTCGAGTACTTATAATTATCAAACACCGAATCAGGTATTTTTGATATATAAATGGCGGTTTAGCGTTAAAAAAAATATATATGTATATATATTTACCAAATACACCACACAACTAAATTAAATTTAATATCGTTATAGGTATTAATTGCCAAAGATGAAAGGAATTTTAAATTCCAAAGGAGTAATTTTATTGTTTATGAATCTAGATCTCATGGAATATTGTCATTATAATTTAAGTACTAGTTGAACCTTTAGGGTACTGAAGATTTATTTGTTTTAACTCATTATTTACTTTGGATATTTTTTTTATGACAGACTACTAAGTTCTAGTTGTACTATGATAAATAAAGCAACTGTTATTGAACTCTATATTTATTTAATTTTAATTATTATTTGTAAGTATGTAGGAATTAGATTTCTATGTTTGGATCTACATAAATCGGATATACTGTCTTGGAGTTAATAATAATATCATGTTAAATAAAAAGTCGGCATTTCGGTTGGGTGCATGTTCAGCAGTCGAATCTATAACGTATTCGAATACCGAGCTCTGAACTCGAATACTTGATCCGAGTATCTGACTCGAATCCTGACTCGATTCTTTTTTAAATGAGTACCAAAATACTCCAGTACCAAAAATAGCCGACTCGGCACATCACTAGAGCAAATGATACCAGCGAGTACAGGTAAATACTCGATACTTTTGTTATGATGCGAAATATTTTTTTACTCGATGCTTTTCAATCCGATACCAATACTTTTCTTTCGATACATTGAGAACACTACTGAAAAACTTTTTGTTTTTGAATGCAAGTTCGTAAAAGAGAATGCCAGCTTCAACTTGCTACGGCAACTCTATTATTGGCATTCCTGCAATAATCTTTATGCAAATTCTTAATTACTTCTCGCAGCAAATATTGTAAAGTAATTTTATTGTAAGAAAGAACTAGTCAGCCTGATGAACTAACAATCTATTTATCTGCGCCTTTATCACCAATTAAAAAAAAAAAAAACTTTTGGAAGAGTGTGAGGTTATATGAAAGCTCGGTTATTTTTAATAGTTGTTGCATCATCAGTTCCTTGTGAAAAATAGTTCCCTTGTACTAAATTATTTTCACTTGTACTAAATTACTATTATTTTTTTTTTAATTTGTAACGATGGAAAATACATTCAAGAGTGATAGAATACAAAATTGCACCGTCCTGGCGGTGGAGACGTAAGCTAAGTAAAAGTAAATAAAGCAGGATAGGAGAATAAAAGAAACTGTCAAAACAGTAAATTTTCTTAACATTCAACTTTTCGATAACAAAAGTAATTTTGTGTTAAATAATAAAAAATGTATGATTTATGATAAGAATAAATAAATAAAAAATAAAAGCGCCGCGGTTTTGGTACATCGCGTAGTGCACCAATTTTTAATTTAGTATAAAAAAATAAATATAATTGGATACCGAGTAAGTATCGATGCTTCCCATCCGATACTTAAAAGTATCGATACCTTTTATCGGTATCGTTTGACCCTAGATGACACTGATTGCCGCTACATAAGGCCCTGTCTCCACAGGAAAACACTGATGTCGTGATAACCATGTCACAAAATATATATCCAATGGAGACCGCCTATTTCTTATGTGCTGCAATATATGTCAGCGCTTATTGCTTGACATCTATTACAGGCAATTCGATAGTTTGACAGCCATATTTTCATTTGAAAGAAAGCGTGCTGGTGGTAACATCGATGAAATTTTGATATTAAATCAAAATAAAAATCTGTTCCGTATTGGATAATTTATGATTACGTTTTAGGAAATTATTTAGCTAGTTTTTTAAAGATTTAAATGTTTTTAAACACCGAAATTGAGAGAATGTTGTCTGGTGGCGTCATGCGGCAAATGCTTATTTCAAGACATCAAAGTGCCCACACACAAAAACTTGCAATCACATTGCTCGTCAAAATGACAGTTGGTAGGCCATCGCTGTTCGCCTGTGGAGTTCTGCGGTAACACGTATGCTTAGCGCTGCCATATTATAGAAGTCGTCGATAATTGAAGAAAATTCGTAAATTGCAGACGATAGAAATGACATTATTATTCGATAATTTTTGGAAATTTTACAAAATTTTCGAGTTATACGATTCACATACCCTAAAACTTGCAATGTTGGGCAAACTGAAAGAGCAAAATGACATTTAATTTTCAGGGGAAGCTAAAAATCTCTGCTGCAAAAAATTTTACTGATCTAAACTAGCAAATTTTATAATGCTAGTTTACAATGAAAACTGGAATAGGGTAATTAAGCTTTAAGCTTGCTGCATTTTAATTTATGTATTTGGGTATATACATATAAGAAAAATTATGGTACAATCGAAAAATGTCATACGGCAACCATAGTCAACACACTCTAAAGTAAACAAACTGGATATTAGGGGTCTTCATCTAAAGTGATAAAGGGATAAATTGCTTAAATTTATCAATTTATCCGCATTATTTCATGAACGCACCTTGGTAAATAATTGCACAAAATTGTAAACTTAACAAACGTTGTTCTTAATAAATTTACTCACTTTTTCATTGTAAACCTGCATTAGTAATAAAGTTTGCAATAAATAATTCAAAAAGGCCGTATTTTCTTTTGTTTATTCACGAACAGATGTTTGTGATCAGCTGATTTTCATACTTGCAAGTTTCCACAAGTACACATTTTTCCAGCATAAATTTGCAGGTCTCTATCATATTTTGTTCTCTCAATTTTCCCTACTTTACAAGTTTTTTGGGTACGAGAACACACAACCTCTGAAAGTTTTCTAAAACTTTTAATAATTTTGGGTACGAGTACTCTTCTAGTTATTGCCAGCAAGGATTTTGGTGTAAAATCCTGTAAAAATGTCAAACACTAAAATTAATCTATTAAGTGAGAGTTAAAAGTGAGTAACAACCAAAAACTACGGGAACACAAAAAAAAAACTTTCTGTAAAAACGTCAAACAGGTTTCTGTCAAACCGAACAAATGGAAGGCAATAAGTCCCCTTTCAGACACGTCAAGTCTTGAAAGCAATTTTTTCGCATTCTCTTTTGTGTTTTTTATTTGCTTCCACACGCGTCAACTTTAATTGAATCCAAGTCCTTGGTTCTTTAAATGGGAAGCAACGAAAAGATCAAAAGAGACAAGAAAACTTGAAACGAATTGACGGTACGGAGGTATCTGTACTCTTCCGCTCTCTTCTCACCTCCTTCTCCTACGAACGAGCGGACTTGAAATCAAGACTTGACGTGTCTGAAAGGGGACTAAATTAAATGGTGATTGCTAGCCAGGTAAATTAAATCGCATACGAAACGGTAATATTTACGGTAATACTTTAAGTGACTACGTACACTTTTTGTTAACTTTTTTGTAACAGCTGATCGCTCCACACTTTTCATGATTTTACCAGAAGAAAAAGTTAGGGTAAATTTTTAGAATGACTCTACATAACTCTCTGAAAATCGCTCTCATTTATAGGACTTTGGAGTACGGGAATACTTTTCCTGTAACTTCCTGCATGCTCGTGTAAAAACCTGTAAATTCATGGAGTTGTGGCACATTGTTGCATTTTTATCAAAAATTATTTGAATAAACAAGTTCGTTAAATTTAAAAATTTACAATCTCGTTGCGATTTACTAATGAAAGAAGCAGTTTTGTTTTTTTACTTATTTAATTTAGCCAATTCCAATGGTATGAAAGGTAATCTGCTGAAAAAACTGTATACGTAATTGGAACGCAGTCGGAACTATTGTCGATACATATAGGATATCCCAGTGGCGCGTAGTATGTTGAATAAATTCAGAATAACAAGCGAGGCGGCCGCCATGTTGTAGTGGTTAGCAGTGTGCGCTACCATTTCACAGAGCCTGGGTTCGAGCCCAGTTTCCGAACAACATAAAAAAAATAAACTAAGTTTATTTCTAATAGCGGTCGCCTCTCGGCAGGCATTGGCAAGCCCCCGACTGTATTCTGCTACGAAAAACAGCTTCTCATAAAAATACGATCGCCGTCCGGAGTGAGCGTAAAAATTCCATATCAACTTATTCAGCCTTATCGTGAGTGAGCTTCACCCGAAAACAAATTCATTTGAAATTTTTTAGCCGCAGGCTGATTATGTTTGAAATTTCTGCGGGTAAAATTTTGCAACATCTGTCTTCTCATTTGCCAAAGAACCCAGTATGTGAACGATTTCAACAATACACCGTTCTGAGATACTTCGCCGAAACAACAGCCCTTGGTCGGGTAAAACCCGAGTCATTCCGGTACGTAGAACCGGCTGTCGAGATCGCGAGCGAGATAATGGTGGTGGCTTAGCGTTCATCACGCACCACACCGTGCAGTATCGTCTAATTGAAGCAGACATCGACCGCAGGGATACCACCCTAGAATGTCAGGGCATCGCTATCCGGTCAGGCGATGTTGAGCTCGAAATATTTAACATATACATACCCCTGTCACCTGCTGGCCGGAAGGATATCACCCTGATATAGGTGCGCTCCTCAGAGGTGAAAACCGTATGGTAGTAGGTGACTTTAATGCGCACCACGATCTTTGGCACTCAAGCCTGTTAAACGATCGTAGGGGAACAGACTTGGCTGAGCAGATAGACGATTCGACATTCTGCACAATGAACGACGACGCACCCACCAGGATTATGGGTAACTGCAGTAGCACGCCAGACATCACCATAGTCAGCGCTGGTCTGATAAACAGCATAACATGGCGACCTATGCTGACTTTAGCATCAGACCACCTACCCATAGTCATCTCGATCGATAAACCAACCGACTTTGCCTCCGCCAAACACCGGACCTATATCAACTTTTCTAAAGCTGATTGGAAAGGTTACGCGGAGTTTACCGAAAACACCTTCACAGCGCTCCCCACACCAACCGACGTCCATCTCGGTGAACGTAAGTTCCGCAGGGCTGTCACTGCTGCTGCAGTTCGCTTCATACCGGCAGGATGTATAACCGACCCACGTCCAAACTTCCCTGCCAAAGCAGCTGTTCTAGCCG